AAATTTTTTTTGGTTAAATTTGTGGCAAACTCATTTGGTGCCAAAACCTGACCTAAAGTGACTGAAGAAATGACCCTCTTTATTCTTTCTTTTAGTATGAAAATCCCACACGTTTCATCACAGAAATAACGGATGTGTTTGATGATGGGGCTCAGCTCCAGAGTCCCCTGGGAGGGCAGAACACGGCATATTCTGGGCCCCTCTATTCTTCTTAAAATCCACATAATTGAGAATCGTGGTGACATCTGGCCCCCGTGGGCTGAGTATGGGGTTGTGGGCCTGGGTGAGTCCCTCTGGGAGGAATCAGTGAGGTAGCACACCTGGGAAGGGAGTGACCCCCTGCCTGGGAACAATCAGGCGTCTGTGCTGGTTTGGTTTTGTTTTTTTTTGTTTTTTTCACATTGAGCACTAACTTCAGTAGACTTAAGCTATCGGGGCCTGAATGAATTATTAACATTTTTAAAGTGCAGAAAGCAGTGTCTAGGCTTTTGATTTGTCTCTTAGAGCATATTCAGTATATTTGTGAATAGAGCACCTGCTCTTCTCTCTTCCTCCCCACCCAACGTCCCCCTACAGACATCCCTCTGCTTGGCTTTGGGACATCTGTACCTTCTGTGACCATCGCTGCCCATGGCCAGCTGCTGGGTAGGTCCCAGGCCATCCAGGTGGGCACTTCGTGGAAGCAGGTGGACCAGTTCCTGGGAGTTCCGTATGCCACCCCTCCCCTGGCAGAGAGCCGCTTCCGGGCACCGGAGCCCTTGAACTGGACAGGATCCTGGGATGCCACCAAGCCACGGTAGGGTTGAAGCCCTCTCCCATGCTAAGCCATCTAAGTGAGACTTGGTAGCAGAGCAGAGTGTTTGCATTTGAGCCGTGCATGGGCAGGGGGTGCTCTAACACATAAACTCTACTGCTTGTCAGTGACTGAACATTGTCTTGGTTCCGCGAAGTCCATCTGGGGATGGAGGCGCTGGTGGGCTCTGCGCCATGCAGTGATGCAGGGACCCAGGCTGATGGAGACTGCCTTCGTCAGCACACACCTTCCAAGGTGCCTTCCAGGAACCTTCCTTGACTTTGCCTTCGGGAAAGAGAGGCTGCGGCAGAGTCTACAGGGACGGTCTCCAGGGCCTCGCCTGCAGGGGAGGTGCATGCGTCACGTGCTCCAGTGTGGCCGTGGCTGGAGCTCGGCCTCCCGGCCACGTGTGACTTCGGTGAGGCTAAGAAATTAGCACAGAAGGAAAAGCACATGAGCAAATGAAAAATATTTTAAAAGTGCTTTTATCCTTCCCAATAGGAACCATATTAAAAGGAGTTTTCAAAAAAGAGGAAAAATGAAATCAAATCTAATCTTCCTCCCTCATCAACTTCTTTCAGTTTTGCCCATTCCCTCCCAGGCATACACCACTCTAAAAAGTTAACTGATTGGATAAGATTTTGAGATTTTTCTAATTAAAGAGCATTCAGAGTATCTGTGAAAGAGCATCCATTCACCTCTCTCGTTCCCACCAGCATCTCCCCTTCCCACAGTCTCTGTCCAGAGGCAGCCGAGTTCTCTCTGTCCATCACCACCCACCACCGGCTGCCAGGCAGGTCCACAGGCCCAGAGCCAGGGACAAGGCTGGCGGCTCTGGAATACTCCAGACGAGGGAAAGTGAGGGATTAAACTAGGACAGTGGCAGAAAGATGCAGAAAGCCAAGAATAAGCCTCCACTGCGGGGAAACAAAAGAAGCGAACATGCACTGACTAGAGCACGTTACGGTGCTGGGGTCCACCCGTCTGACAGGTGAGGTGCTGAGTCACACAGGCTTCTGAGTGGACAGGAGTTGGCGGGCATGGTTGTCAGAGCCCAGTCCTCACGAGGCTCGGCGGGCAACCATCATGCCTCCATTAGGTGTGTCCCAAGCGTGGTGTCAGCTCTTATGCGAGAAGATGCTCCAACTGGCACACCTGAACTCTGTCCCCATGTAGAAAACAGGTTGGGACACCCCATGTGAGCAGGTGTGCACACTCGGGGCCAAGAGGGGCTCAGGCCCCAGGAGACATTCTCCTCTCCTCTGTCCGGGCAGCCTTCTCTCTGGGCCCGCACCTAGTCCCTGGGCGATGTTCCTCAGACCCGTGGAGAAGGGGGCGATGGGGGTCCTGCTGTTTCTGCCATTTACTCACCATTCCCATTTCCCCACCATCCCCATTTCCCATGTCCTGAAGCTGCCTAACTGCACTGGTGCTCGGCCTTTGGAATGGGGCAGTGGGCTGGGCTCTGCTCCTGGTGGTGGGCGAGAAGGGGGGCTGGGACCTGTCCCCTTGGTCGTTTACCCTGCAAGTCACACAGTCTGTATCTGCAGGGCCAGCTGCTGGCAGCCAGGCCTCAGAGCGGCCACGTCTCCCGGGGTCAGTGAAGACTGCCTATATCTCAACGTGTTTGTCCCTCAGACCGTGGTGAGTTCTGCAGCCGTTGCTGTGTTAGCCCTGAAAACGTTGCTAGTAGGTTCCTGTCCCCAGAGCTACTGGCACGGTCCCCCCAGCACTGTCCTCGCTGGTTCTTGGCTTCCTGAGGCCCAAGTGGCTGAGAGCAAGCGTGCAGTGGGTGCTCCTGGCCCTTCCAGGATCTCCTCATGTCCTTGTCCTGGAGCCCCACCCACATGGGGCCTGAACGGGGCTGCAGAGGAGGGAGGGTGAGAGCCACGCCCAGTGGGTGAGGGCCAGCGATGCAGAGTCTCCCTGAGGGCCTCAGGCTGGGGCAGCATGGAGCAGATAGAATTAGTCTGCAAATGAGGAAAGCAGCCGCTCTCCTTGGAAAGACCCTTGGAGAGAACCCCGCGAGCGTTTCTTTCCATGTGATCTCTCCCTTCAGGCTATTCTGGAGGGTGGGGCTGGGCGGTGGCCCTGCCTCCGGGCAGGCCCTGTTTTGAAGGCTGTATCTGCTGAAGTAGCAGCTATGCTCCTGATGCAGTGTTTGACACTGATGTTGAATGTTCCTATTTTGGGGGAAAGGTCAGAGCTCAGGAGAGAAAACACAACTTGTGAGCCTTAGGAAACATGAGTTTCTGGTGACACCAACCCCATGTTGACAGATCCCATGGTACATGTGACCATGTCGCCACTTCCTGGTTCCCTAGCTTAGTAGCAGGGCGAGGTCAATGCACTTTGGAGGTCGGGCCAAGCCAGCTAACCTGAGTGAGCTTTGCAACAAGGGCACCAAACCGTGCAGGTTTTCCTGGGCTGTATTAATAGATTTATGGAGCCTAGAGTGAGGAGGTGATGAGTCCCACTCTGCCCAGTGCTGGTTGGCTCATACCTGGGATGTTGAATTAAGTTCTGACTCCAAACCAGCCTGCCACTTACCACCACCTCCCTGGCCTGGAGAAGGCAACTCAAGATCTGTGAGCCCCAGTTTCCTGTTCTGAAAGTGGGGAGAGAAATAGCATCTCCTCATAAAGCTCTTGTGAGGATTAAATAAAATGATGCATAGATACCAAGTAACCAATGAGTGGCTGACAAGGGGGATGTTGGGAATGGCCGTGAGTGGGACAGAGATCACACTTATAGGGACAAGGGCCCCTCAGCCTGGAGGAAAAGATTGTCACTTAGGTGGTGTAGGACCTCAGACAATGTTGAACGTGTTGGAAGGAGGACGGGGGTGCGGCGGAAGGGACCGTCTGGTGGCCTGTGCCTGTCGTCAGCCGGACGCTTGTCAGCATCCTTCCTTCTGATCCTCCTGACACCTCTATTGTATAGATGAAAAGCCCAAGGCTCAGAGAGGTCAGATGACTTGCCTAAGGGCACTCAGCTAGTGAGTGATTGCTGTAGACTTGGTCAGTCAGGCCCCGAAGACACTGCAAGGGCCAGCAAACGGTGACCAGTGAGGACATACTTTTGCCAAAGTGTGAACAAAATTTGGTGACAGAACTTTAGAGATTATAGACCACCTTTATATTTATGATTTCACTGGTCTTCACATTAACGCTTGGAGGAAAAAAAATGTATGTTTTCTCTCTCCTCATTTTAAAGGTGCAGAATCTGAGGCTAAGAGAGCCTTAGTGACTTTTTAAATGACACACAGCTGGGCTGAGTGGACACTTGATCCTCATTTCCTGACTCCACATCCAGAGCTCCTAACCCCTAAGGAGGTTCCCAAAGGGAGCCGCACCATCTCTGTCTTGGGCCGCGCCGTCGCCCCTTCCTGGTCTTGGTGGAGGAGTGTTGATGCCGGAGCCTGGAGTGCCACAGAAGCACACAGGCCCCGAAGTGACAGACCCTGCGGGGCTGGGGCAGCACCTGGGTACCTCCTTCTGGCCAGTGGGGTCGCAGAGGCTGAGAGCTGACCCTCACCTCCGCCCCTTGCCCTGGCTTCATTGACCTTTGCTGGCATGAACCAAATGGCCTTCTCTCTCGCTGGTGCTCCCCAATAAAATGACTCAGGGTACTTTTAGGAAGGGGATACAGGGCCTTTCCCAGACCCGAGAGCCCACAGCAAATGAAACCACGGCCACAAGAGCTGACCTTTTCCTATGGCATTTAAGAAGGCCTTGTATTTGAAGAATTAACCATCCCGCCAAGTGGTGACACATACTAGATGGAGTGTCACAGAGGGAAGAGCCCAGGAGTGTGGCAGGGTGGGGCAGGCGGGGTGGGCAGAACTCTGGTTAGCCCCTTCGTCTGCACAGATTTTTTAAGAAGTGACTCTAGCACTCTGAGCCTCTGTTTGCACTTGTAGGATGGGGGTGCTTAGAGCCCCTGTGGCATCTACCCTGTGGGGTGGGATCTCTGATGAGACGTTCTGGGTGAGCATACTTAGCACAGCACCCACCCAGGCTGGTCTCAGTCAGTGCTGGCTGTTGGGGAGGAGAGTATCTGTGTGTCAGAGCCTGGGACACACGGAGCAGAGAAGTCACAGCCCAGGAAGTCAGGGTCCGAGCGAGCAAGAGCCCCCCAAGCCTTGCATCGACCCCAGCCTGGAGTGGGGCATCCGGTCCCCCACGTGGAATGTGATATTCTGATACAAAAGGGTCAGCCTGGGTTCAGACCCCAGCTCGGCCACTCCCTAGCTGTGTGGTCTTAGACAAGCTGCATGGCATTGTTGAGCCTCTGCCTTCTCATCTGTGAAATGGGAATGACTACAATACACCAGGCTCGCAGGGCCATTTGCAGACCGAGCAGCTGACACGGGTGAACACTCAGCGCAGTGACTGCTCTTCTCAGGACTTAACACAAGTGACTCTGGGTTGACAGTGTGGGGTTCAGTCATGGTGCCCAAACTCAAGGACTCCCCAGGGAGGGCACAGAACAGTAAACGAGGCGGGGGAGCTGCGGGGCTGGGGGCCGGGCCCTGGGCCTGCGGTGGGCAGTCACCCCGCACTCGCCCACTGGGCAGTGTGGGCGACGTGGCTTCTCCTTCGAGGACCCTCGGTTTCCTTATCCGTGAGTTCAGGTTTGGTCATTTGCTCGGCAGCTCTAACAAAGTGCCACAGACTGGGTAGCTTAAACTGCAGGAATGTGTTTTATCAAGATCTTGAAGGCCGGAAGTCCAAGGTCAGGGTGTCTGTGGGGCCGTTTCCTTCCGAGGTCGTCTCCTTGGTCCATAGATCATCATCGTCTCCTCCCTGTGTCTCCACAAGGCCCCCTCTGTGTGTCTGTGTCTAAATTTCTTCTTGTCAGAATACCAGTCCCACTGGAGTAGGGCCCCTTCTTTTCAGAACCTGTCCCCAAATAGTCACATTCTGAGGACACTGGGGTTAGGGCTTCAGTATGTGAATCTGGGGGGCACACGATCCAGCCCATAACGTGAGACTAAGCGTGACCGGGGCAGAGCTGGCAAAAGAGTCATTGTAGGCCCAGAATCCGGCACCTACGTGGGAAAGGTCCCCTCTCCCAGCTCTGGTGGGTGAAAATGGGTCACCTGGAGCCCCCAATTTCTCCAACCCCTACAGGCCCCCAATGCGTCCGTGCTGGTGTTCTTCCACAACGCCGCGGAGGGCAGGCCGAGCAGAGGACGGCTGGCCGTGGACGGCTCCTTCCTGGCTGCTGTTGGCAACCTCATCGTGGTCACTGCCAGCTACCGAGTGGGCGTCTTTGGCTTCCTGAGTTCCGGTGAGCGGCTGGGCTTGGTGGAGGCCGCCAGCCCCCTGAGCCGAGTCTGTGCTTTGTGTGTGTTTAGTCCTTTCTTCACGAATCCCCATCCGTCCTAGTCCCTGGCCATCCCCCAGCTGGGCACGCAGGGGCACGACCAGCACTCGTGAGACCCTCCAGCCTTGCTGACGCCATAGCTGAGCAGGGGGGCCACTGGTTAAACTCATGCTTAACACTTCTGAGGCTGTTCCGACTACATTGTGTGTTTTATCTTGTGAGATGTGTGTGTGCACGTATGTGTATTGAAACCCCAGAGGGCTGGACACCTGCTCGAACTCACAGGATCAGGAAAGACCAGAGCCAGGATTCACCACCAGGCCAACCTGCCCTGGAGACTCAGGGTGGATGAGGGCTCTCGGGCCTCAGGAGCCATTTACTGGAGTGAGGGCTGCATGGGTCATGCTTTCTGCTTCCCCTTTAATTCCAGCATCACTTGTAAATGTTGGCCTGTCCCCATCTAGTCACGGGCCCCTTTATCACTCTGGTTACTCCCTCCACCTTCCCCACATCCCCCAGGGCAGAATTGAGGCTTGGACTAATTCCACCGTCATCCACTGTTTCCAGTGCCTTCGATGGCAGGGCAGTGGAGGGGCAGCCGTGGCCGAGAGCGGACACTCAGGTCTGGGGGTCTGAAGCGCCAAGGGCCAGCTCTGCCATTGACTGTCTGTGTGACTTGGACAAAACCCTCCCTCAGTTTTCTCCTCTGTAAAGTAGGAATAATTTACCCAAGTTCCAAAGTTACTGTGAGGCTCAAGGGAGCACTGCGTGGGAAGAGGCTTTGGAGGCTGTGACGGGCTTTACGAGTCCTCGAGGACAAGCACTGGGCTCATCTCTGTTCTCCAGGAATCTTGTTTAAGACCCGGAATGTCTTGTCCACTAAGTGTGGCTGGGCAGGTGGGAGGTGGTGTGGCCAGAATGACGGGCTCCTCTAGAGTGTGGGTGAGTGGGCAGGCGGGCTGCAGGAGC